TAAATTCATCAGTGGACACACTGTTATATTGCGCGAAAAATATTTTTATCTATAATATTTCGAAAAATACATTTTTTGTTAGGTTAGAGTAGGTTTTATTACACACAAGTCCCAGACTTAAGTGAAAAAATTAAATGCAAGTTATTTAAAATTTTCATTTGTATTTATTATTATCCTACATATTTTGTATTATTTTATTTTACGTTTATTATAAAAAACTTATGTATATTTTGATTGTTTGCCTAAATAAATTAAATAAATTAATAAATAAATGAAAATAAATAGTACTTTTTATTTTTATTTTTGCCCAAATTTAACTTGGAGTTACAAAAATGCAATTTATTCTCAAATATTGTTTTCAAGTTAAAAAATGACAAAACAGTGTTTCCAAGACTTTGATTTGCATTTATTAATTAAAAATTATTTTAGACAGGGGGGCGAATTTTGCGCCGCCTTGACATGCAAAACTTTCGCCCTCCCAAAGAATCTTAAACGAAAATTTAATATATTATTTAATATATCAGTTTATGGAACATTTTACGCCAAATCGACCACTTTTACCAACCAAGAATTAGGTGCTTTTTTCAAACGCTTTAAAAACATTTTTTTTTTTCAAAATATTCATGAAATTTTGTAGTTTTTTCAGAAAATACAAATTCGCCATTTTGTTTTCAAAAAAAACTTTTAGGGTTTAATAAATAACTTTTATTTTTATTTATTTAAATTTATTTAATTATAAAAAGTTAGATTGCGAAAAAAAAGTTAAAACAAATAAAATATGGCGTACTTAAAAAAATGAATGCTTCTTTTAAAAAAAACTGAACTTAACAGGATTTTTATATTATATGTTTAAAACAACATTTTAAAAAACGTCTCAAATCCGACCTCAGAATTGCTTCATGACAGGTTTTTGAGAAATCAAAAGAACTCAAAATATGAAAAATTCACAAACTCACAAATTGCAACTAACAATACTTGTTAGTTGCAATTTGTGAGGAGGTCTATTCCAAAACTCGGCTTATCCACTTTTTAATAAAAATGAGTTAGTGGTGTCTGTACATTTAAAATGTAGCCCCCTATACCCAGTGATGTAATGTATCGAGATACATGTATCTAGATACTGGATCTAGATACATTTTGTGTACCTAGATACGTATCGAGATACTTAAAAAAATCAGGATCTACTTTAGTATCTAGATCCTTTTGAAAGTATCTAGATCCTTAGATACAAGATACATTTTATTTTACCCATTTTATTTTACCCATTTTTCTTCGTTCTGATAATTTTGAATTTGTTCTACAAATTTTGTAGTAAGCTTTCATATGGCGCGTAAATATAAAATTTATTTCCGTTTTTCATGGATATTTCGTCAATTTTATCAAAACAGTTTTATTTTATAGTTAACACGCTTGTTTATAAGGTCCAAAAATTTTTTTTTGTCATTTAATTTTTAAGTTTTTTAACATAGTATCTGGAAGTAACTTAGATACTTTTTGAATGTATCTGTATCTGTACCCAGATACTTTTGGGAAAATGTATCGGTATCTGTACCCATATACATCTACCAGAGAGTATCTGTATCGGTACCTAGATAAGTACTGAAAAAAATGTATCGGTTACATCACTGCCTAAATTCATATACAAATTTGACTTTCGTTCCAAAACTTGCCTTATCTATATTTTATATCATGTCAGAACTGGCTTATACGTATGTAATTTTAAATTATTTCAAATTGGAGCCATACCTTTTTAATCAAGGTATATAAATTCTATACTTATGTCTATATATTTCGTTTAAAGTATTCTTGATATGCGTTAGTACTGACGTGTAAGGTTTTTGACATTTTGCTCAAAATCACCTAATATGGATAAGCCGAGTTTTGGAATGTACCTCCTCAATTTCTCGAAGAGGAGAAAGGATATTTAAAAAAAACAATAGTAGACTTTTATATTGCGTGACAAGTTTAAAGAAAACACCTTTTAATGTAACGTCATCTTAAATATTCATGTACACCAAGTCTTGGACTTGGACTTACCGCTAAGTAGGGGCAGTCCTGCTAGATCCACAATCCTGACAATACACACCAATAATTATTAAAATTATAATTAAAGAACTTGGAAGAAGTTGTTAAGTGAATTTTTAAACGCTTTTCTTAAAAATCTGTTTATAATTTTTATAAAAAAAAAATTAAAAACTGATTTTTAGGATTAAAATATACCGTTAAACTTTTCTTTTTCCAAAAAATTAATTTAAATAAATCGGTTTTTTTCTTAAAAATAACTTTTTAATCGGGAAATTTAATAGTCAATATATTAATAGGTGAAAAAGTTTTCTAGAAACAGGGTGTTAAAGTTAATACAAAAAATTATGTTCACTCAACTGCTTTTTAGTTTGATATTATATTTAAATTAAGCAATTAAAATACAACTTTTTGTCCCTCACAGTTTTTCTTAATCTTGTTTAATTTTCAACAAAAAAATAAATTCTTGTGTCATGTTTCCATGACACTAAGTGATTTTTTAAATACACATTGACAAGCCATGGCTTTATGGCGCTTTAGGCACGTGCTAAAGTTAGCAACAGGTTTTTAGTCACGGGCTGAAGTTAGTTGACAGTTGTCAAATGTCATACAATCTTATTGTATTAGCTTATAAACAAATACAAATAGTTTCTCAACGCCAATATTTAAAAAGTTTATATGTACGTTTGTAGTACAAACTTTGTACTGACATTTTGATTTCACAAAAGCACGGTCTTATATAAGACTGTGGCTTAGGGTGTTTCAAAAAAATCGACTTTTTCTTTTTCTTCAAATGGTCAGCAAATTCTTTCAGAGGATGTCAAAACAAAGACCTCGTTAAAATTTGAGCTTTTAATTTGAAGATTTAGAGGTCGCGGATCGCAATTTTCTATTTCCCATTTAAATAACATAGGAAATTTTTTTTTTAACTTTGGAATTTTATACGTCTATATTGAATCAACTTATGGCAAGGAACATCTTAGATTTTTATAGTAAATTTAACGCTCTATAAAAAATGTCTCTTATAATTTTTCTATAGATTGATTTCTTCCATCGAATTTTCTCGTTTTTTCAACTTTTAGCATCATGTAGTAAAAAAATCACATATTTATATCTGAAACATAGGAAGTGTTGTAAAAAAACAAAAAAACAAAAAAACGTCACTTTTTTCCAAAGCCTACTACAAAGTTTTAATGAAAATATGAGATGTGTATAATATGCAAAGTAATTTATTTATAAATGCATTTTTCTCGAAAATGGTGCATCTGAGCAATTCAAATCAAGAGTACCTATTTTTCGTAAAAAACTATTAATTCTCATAACTTCATAAAAAAAAATTAAATTATTAACCCAGAAAAAAGTTGGGGCTATTTTTGTAACTTTGCCCCCTCCAAATGTTACGCCTATGATTAAATTTTAACAGTTTTGATCATAGATCTTATTCAGCATGTCAAAATTACCAAAGTACCTACCGAAAATTCATTTGTTCATGTTCAACCCTCTAGGAATAGTTTAAAAAAAATTATCCTCTTAGGCTCCTATTCAGGGGGCCGTAGCTCCATTAGGGAGCATTTTTTGATACATGTTTATTAACCAAAAAAAGTGTTATTTTATACGAATAATGCACTGTTTAAGTTTGGCCCCCTGATTTCGGGACACCCGTATAATGATAATTGTACCATAAATGTTAAAAAAAAAGGCGAAAATTCGATGGAAATCAAACTTTGGCCTCGAATAACTCTGGAAGAAATCAATTTATAGAAAAATGATAGGAGACCTTTTTTGTAGAGCGTTAAATTTACTATGAAAATCTAAGATGATCCTTGACATAAGTTGATTTGATTCAGACGTATAAAATTTCAAAGTTAAAAAAAAAATTCCCATGTTATTTAAATGGGAAATAGAAAATTGCGATCCGCGACCTCTAAATCTTCAAATTAAAAGCTCAAATTTTGACGAGGTCTTTGTGTTGACATCCTCTGAAAGAATTTGCCGACCATTTGAAGAAAAAGAAAAAGTCGATTTTTTTGAAACACCCTACTGTGGCTGGCAGTTAACTAAATGAAGCATCAAAAATTTCGCGTGCAGACTCCACCGTGGAGTGAGCATTAACCATTTTCTTTACTTTTATTGGAAAAAAAACTACTTCTATATCGGATTTAAACGGTTGTTAGTCCATTTTAAAGAAATTATATTTACTATTATACTATACAAAGAAATCGTTTAACCTGAAAAAGGGATGTTTTTTTCACCTTACATCTCTTAGAGATGATCTCTAGATGTGACTCCCTCTACTATAGTATATGTATATACCCATACTCTTAAGTAAATTATTAATATTAATACTTTTTAAATAAATATTGCCTGTTCTGGTATATTAAAACAAGATTTTATAATTTTTTTCTTAATATACTTGGTTGAACTATAGTATAGAATTAAATTTATAAGAATGCATTTATAATATTTGCTGAAATGCTTCTTATTTTTAATTAAATATATAAAATATTTTGAAACAAACAATTGTTTTGAAAACATTTCTTCTAAACTTTACATAAGATGCATTTTTAAAGGTGCAAACTTTTGGTCGGGCATGAAGAATAACAAAAGAAAATTTAAATTAAATTTAGGTCGTGTCCAAGGTATAAATCCATTTATAGCCAGAGGATTAAAAAACAAAGATAAATGGAGGATTTGATACTTAAAAATATATTTGTAAGTTCATTTTGTTTACCTTTTAATTCATACCCGCTAAAATTTAAAGATATCATTCTCACACCTCATAGGTAAGTGTTAAGCACATAAGTAAATGTTAACGCAAAAACGTGTCAATTAGTTCTATAAAACTCGTGTAAAATCACACACGACCAATAAATAAACGTCAATGGATAGTTTTATCGCAAAAACACTGTATAAAGCAAAAAACAACAAAATTATTTACATTAATTTTTTAGTACCAGACAAAGGTGTTTTTAGTTAATCTAATTTCAATACCTCATTCATAAGGTAAAAAAGATGCACAAAATGCACCCACATAAGATTATAACCACTAAGGTAAGCGCATAGTGCCAAAAGGGGATTTACGATATTTCAATTTCGACCAATGAGGGTGGCCCTTTGAGCTACCCCCACCCATTACTTAAAAGGGATGATGCCCAAATAGCAAACCAGCTTAAATACCGATAGCCAGGAAAGTTATCTGTTATTCTCTTGTTTTCGCTTATGCAAATAGATACACAGTTTTGAATCAAGTGACATTTGTGTGACAGTGTTTTGTTTATTACAATCATGGATTATACTTCTCGTGGATATTATGAACGTAAGTACAGTTTTAATAAATTTAAAAAAAAATGTTTTTTTACATAATTTAAACTTGGCACTACGGTGATAAGTGCTAAAGCACTACTGTGCTAAGCTAATTTGACTATTTAAAAAAGTTAATATTCATATTTATAAAATTACAACTAAAAAAAAGGATTTTCTTAAGACTTAGGCTTAGCACTATAGTATACTTTATATTATAATTATTATAAAACTTAATAATTTCAAACAACTAATTTAAAACAAATTAAACCACATTTAACATTTTCTAATTGTTGTGCATTTATTTAATTATTTTCCTATTTGTTACAGACAATGCCCATATGGCCCCTGTGGAAATCAAATTAAAAAATGAAAATCTTTGGAACTCATTTCATAACGAATGTACGGAAATGATAATTACAAAAGCTGGAAGGTAAGGATCTTTTTATTTTACCATAAATATTTTTTAATTATTATGTATCAACGTGAACACTTTGGTCTGGCGCCTATAGTACTTAGGTACTTGGTTATTTTATGACCCCTATTAACTCCAGACTTGCCTTATTTAGATTCATAAACCGGAAAAAATCTACCTATATATGGGGCAAAATATTCCAAGTGTGCTAGCAAAAAAAATTTTTACTTCCCCAATCTTTTTTCAATTTTACTAAATTATATGTAGTACTATAATCCAGTCTATTAATCCTGTGAAGGATTTTACTTTATTACCTTTGGTTATCAAATTACAGGGGTGCAAAGTTTACAACTTTCCTGAAGACCTTAAAAAAATATTTCATTTAAAACATTTTTAAAATTAATTAATTAATAAAAAATAATTTGCTTCATTGAAGAGAATGAAAAAATCAATTTTTTAAATGTTTAATTTTAGAAATGTTTGTTTTTAAGTTCGACAAATAACCAGAGGTTAGAAAGTAAAATCCTGTACAGGATTAATGGTTATAATAATAATAATATAAATAATTTTCCCATATACAATATCAGATACTATCGAGTAAAAGTCATTAATATTTTATGATTATCGAAATTTTTAATAAGACTTTAAAAATCACTCTGTGAATCACCCTTGAAATTTCACTCCGAGTGGGTTGTAAAATTCTTCCTTTAGGCCTAGTAAAGTGAAGAGTACTGCACTTAATGACTAAGTATCTAGTCTGGTCCGTTTATTTGCTTGTCTGGTCATCAGGGCAGGCGCCGGCCGATAAACAATTGCCGTCGAAAACAAGAGACAGTCGTGGCAAGCCACTTAAAGCAGGGCCTCCCAGGATTAGTCGGCAAATGTCACAAATTCTCGGGCCAGATGACGCGCTTATGCTTCTTCGGGTTTTTGTTTTGCTAATTATAATAATAATAATCCGGGAAAATAAAGTGGCGGGCACGTAATAATAACAATTTTGACGGAAGTCGGGGGGCTTTTGATTATGGTGGGCGATTGGGAATGATTAATGGGCTTTTTGGTTTCCTGTTTTCCGCACCTAGTTAACTTTGTTTGTTTTGTAATTTGGTAGCAACTTCTGGGGCTTTTTATTTAATTTTTCTTTGGAAATAATTAAAGATTTTTGCATTTGTTCATTTAATTTTTTGGTTTCTTTCACTATTTCTCATGATTTTTCATTTTATTTATTATTTTTTATTTATAGCAGATTTTTTTCCTTGCAATTTTATAATTTTTCAAATTTCTTCAAATTTTTTTTTGCACTTAAAACTTAATTTGAAGTTAGCACCATGGTGCTAGAGATGCGACTTGAAAAAAACGGTCCGTTTTTTTTTGTTTTTTTTAGGTTTTTTTCATTGTTTTTTTTAAATGGTTTTTTTCATATATTTTTTTCAAGATTAGTCCCATTTGCCTAATTTTTTATGTTTCCAGTCCAGTTCATGGACTAAAATTAGCCACTAAATGACAATTAGTAAATGTAAATACAGTCTCGCGCTATGCACGCGCCACCACCACCGAATTGACCAATAAGGGCCGCGCTTGTTTTGATTTGGTCCTAAAAAAAAGTAACTACCTATAATATTTTTGATTCAGCGCTTGATTTTTCAAAAAGCTACCAAAAGCACTTTTTTCATGATTTTTCAAATTCATGTAGAGTATGGAATTTTTTTTTTCAATAAAACAATAGTGAATTCTTGTAGAACATTTATTCATCCGTGGACCAAAAAAGAAAGCCGAAAAAATTCGAAGTTTTTTATTACGGTATTTGTTGGAATTGAGCGTTGCACGGTTTTCATCTAAAAATCTCAAACCTAAAAACTCAAGCTTCAAATTGCTTTTTTTACGGCTCCAATGCGACCATTTTTAACAAAGATACAGCTATCCGAAAAATGGCAAAAAAATTTTTGGTTTCTAATGTGGAAACTACCAAATAATAAGAAATCAGATTTTTTAGTCTCGGTCAAAATTTTCAATAATGAAAAATGTAATAAATTCTACATTTTACTTTATTATTAATATACATTTTACTCAAAATTTCATTTTGAAAAATTACTCCATTTTTTAAGGTTGATGTTATTTATTGACAAAATAAGTACGTATGCTTTATTGTAGCGGATTTGAAAAAAAAAAACAAAAAAAAACTGTTTTTTCTTTTTTTTCACGTCTGAAAAAAACCGTTTTTTACATATGGGTCATCTAATTTTTTGGTTTCTTTCACTATTTCTCATGATTTTTCCTTTTAATTATTATTTTTTATTTATAGCACATTTTTTTCCTTGTAATTTTATAATTTTTCAATTTTTTTTTCCACATAAAACTTAATTTGGAGTTAGCACCATGGTGCTAAATAAGAAATACTCCAAATTTGTTCCTTATTTCAATAGGATTCAATAATCTCCTAACAGTAAATTAAAATTACGTAAAGTGTACTCTTTATCGGCAAACTTGTTCGTCAAAAAAGGTTCGAGAGCCGCCGCCGATCTGATTTGTTGGTGCCAGACGCATTTAACAGTCGAGCGGGCTGCTGCACTACGCACCGCACCGGCCACCCGTGCTTAAACCTTTTTCTGCGTTCCTTTCGGTAACGCCGACGCTCGGCAGGTCTCATTGTCCCACAACAATGCACCCTTCACACATCGCTTGTCAACAAGTGGCCCCGCCATTGTACCGACAGTACCGCAAAGCATTGTCGCAGCCGGATTAAGTGCTATCAATGTTGCAAAAAACACAGATAAGTTAATAATAAAGAGGTTCTCACGCAAGATCAAAGTGTACCGTTAGGGTTTTTGCTCGAATGATTTTTCTGCTCATCTTTTAACAAGACATTAATGCTTTATTTTCTTTCAGGCGTATGTTCCCTTCTTTCGACTTGGCTTTGAACAACTTGGACCCCAACGCACACTACTGCATCGCATTGGAGTTCAACCTGGTTTCTAGATGCCGTTATAAGTACTCCACAGCAGGAGGATGGGTGCCAGCAGGAACTGAGGAAGCGCAAAGCGTCCATCGCTTCTACATGCACCCTGACTCTCCGGCTACAGGGGAATACTGGATGAAACAGTCAGTTAGCTTCAACAAAGTCAAGCTTACCAACAACCCATCACCTCCATTGGGACAGATCGTTTTATCATCAATGCACAAATATCAACCCACCATCATAATCTCCAAAACCGCCGACCCTAGAACCATGCGTTGGGCCCCAACAATATCACACACCTTCAAAGAAACTCAATTCATCGCTGTGACTGCGTATCAAAACGACGCCATAACCCAACTTAAAATCGACAACAACCCTTTCGCAAAAGGTTTCCGTGAAAACGGTCACTCGAAAACCAAAAAACGCCGAAGCAACTCCGACGAAATTAAAGATACTCCAACAAAATCAGCCAAATTGGACTTGGAAGAAACATCATCGACAACCACAGAAGACGAGAGGCTTTCCACATCCCCATTGTCATCATCCCCAACTGTTGAACCCTCTTATTACCCTCCAATGTACCCCATGTACCAATCCTTTTACCCTCCGACCTCCTACTATTACCCCCAGTACCCCTTACCGATGTACCTCCACTCCCCTTCTCACTACGCGGTAGATTTATCCAGACAGGAACATGTTAAACCCGAAAATAAAACGAGTAGGCTAACAGATTTTTCGATTAAGGCCATCCTGGATAATTCGGCGTGATGTATACCTACCTGATGTTAAGTACCTACTTGTTTTTTTGTATATAAGATGTATTTACTGTGTATATATTGTATAGATTAATTTATGGTTGTTATGCAATAATGCAATATGATGGAGCGCCTGGTTGTGTTCTTGTGATATTTATTTTAGGTGGTTTAAAATTATGAATAAAAATATTTTGTCTATTTTCGTTTTTTTGTTTGCAGAACATAAAAATCCTATACTTACCTACAAGTAAAATTTAACATAAACAGAAATTAAAAAATAATAAATTGAAAAATAATAATATTTATGTCATTAGGCTAATCGTAGCAGAGGCCTACAATTAAGCGAAGCAATTGAGCGAAGCAAGAAGCCGAATGGCATACTTTTATTTGTTAAATCATACATAAAAAATATGTACAATTCAATCGGTATAATAATAATTATTTAAAATAGAAAGTAGAAAATTCACTCATGAGGTTAGGTGGTCTAACTACTATCGATTTTTTGTATTGTTCCTAACAAGTTTTTTACAGTCTAGGAAACACCTCATTGGTCTATATTAATAACACGTGTAGATAAAGTATAGTGCACTATATATAGTGTATACTTTATCTACTCCGATAAGTAGTTAATAAAATGATTTTCAAAAATAAATAATTATTTAAATAAAATTTGACAACTGTCAAATGGTTAACCTCACTTTTTACCCATTTTAAATGTTTTATAGTCGCCTTCTCCAAATATGAACCCGATTGGTTCATATCACAGTGAATATTAAAATCGGCCAATCACTGATGCCTAATAACGTGAATAATGAGTTTATTATTCCCGTTGTTAGGCAGAAAAAAAATAATATGCAATAGGAGTAGATAATGGTATATTATATAATAATATCAAGTTTTATAAATGCCATTTTAGTTACGAGTTTTAGTAGGTACAAGCTAATTTTTACTGTTAAATATTTGACATCTGACGAATTTAACCTGACTTTTTTGCAATTTATAAGAAAGCCCATGACTAAAATGCCCAAAAGCCACTATTGCTAACTACAGCCCATGACAAAAATTCCATAGTCACAGCTTGTCAATGTGGGAGTAAATACAAGTTTTAAAACAGTGTACACACGTGTGTCAAAATATCATTATAATGATATTTATAATTATAATATGATGGTTTAAAATACATCTTTCAACCAGTTCAACCAGGTTTGATTTGTCCGACGTTACCAGATCGATCAATGAAAAGCGCAAATGCATTTTTGTTGACAAATTTTGACCTATTGCAAACCTATTTGGAAAAGGGTTAAAAAATGCCTAACTACACCCTGGTGGGAATATTTAAAATATGCAATTTAAAGCTTTAGAAAAATTAAACACCTCAAAAAATAAAATAAAATCTATAAGGACATAATACATTCTCCAAAGCAGGGCCGGATTAAGGGAAAAGGGGGCCTGAGGCAAAACAATGTAGAGGGCCCTAAATGATCTTTATTAACAGAAGAATGTAAAATGTATTAAACATAATAATGGATCTTTCTTTGTAATTTTTTTAATAATTGGAAAGGAAAAATACCAAAGATTAGTGTTAAGTAAGTTTACCATTTATCATTTCAATAAAAAGCGAACAATATCTACAGCGCTCAAAATCAAAATTGCTAAAACAAACGGTTTTAATTTTGAAATGGATTAATGAAAAATATTGGTTAAAAACAATTAATTAAATTAAATTATACCAAAGTTTTCCAAAAATTGGTACTACCAATTTAGTATCTAAGAAAGTATTTTTTATGAAGTAAAAATAAATATCAACCTTGTTAATTAAATTATTAAATTCGTGCATTTTCATAGCTTAACAACATCTCTTTAAAATTTGTAAATAGGAGTACTTTGTATTTTTATATGGTTTGTTACGTTTTTTACCGTATAATGCCTATAGTATAGGTCCCAAACTTCTTTATTAGCTTACCTCAAGCACGCACTAAGCATATATAACTATAGTTAATTATAATTAATGTTATTCAGTCTGGATGATTTAGAAATAAAACCTTTATTTTTCGCCATTCTAAAACAATCCTTTAATGGCTATAGCCATTAGCTATAGCACCCGTCAAAGGATTGTTTTAGAAGTGTGCCGAGAAGCCGCAGTTGCTCCACACGCTTCGGTCTATCAAAGAGGTAATAAAATAAATCATATTTTAATAATTACTGTCGGACGCGTAATAAACATAAATTATATTTTAGGATGTTTTTTGATACAAAATATTTTAGTTATATTTTATCTATACCTAGATAAAATGCCTGTATAATTTGTATTATTAATCTGACTTTTAAATACTAAGCTGTCGGAGGCCCGTTTGAATGGCGGGGCCTGGGGCTATAGGCTATAGAATATAGCCCCCAAAGCCCCCCCTTTATCCAGGGCTGCTCCAAAGAAATCCGAAAAGACTATAGACATATGTCTAAAGTCTATTCAAATCCAAGCTGGACTAAATGTAAACACAATCCTCTGAATCCACCAATAAGAACTCACAATTGGTTAGGAAATGCAGTTTAAAAAAATACCAATATTGGTTGATTACTGCATTTTTTATTTCGCTTCTGAAGATGCAAGCAAGTGCTTAAAGTAAACAAACACATGTTTTGTTTTGGTGTTGGGGAATATTTCTAATATTAATTTACCCTTTTTTAATAAAAAAAATTCTTAGGATCTACTCCATGGAGGGAATAATTATTATTAATTTGTTGACAATAAGTCAAGTTTTTCTTTTATTTGAGTTATTATGTTCAGTATCGATGCAGTTGAAAACATCAAAATAAAAGAAAAAGCTTTTTTTATTGATGAACCAAATTAATTTAGAATACAGAGTGTTCATTTCAAAACCCACCTATAAATTTTTGGAAATTTTTCAAAAAACGCCTAAAAATCATCCAGGTAAAGATGACCTAGCTAGATCACCTGAATTGTGGCTTTAAATTTTTTTCTATGTGATCATTTAAATACAGCAATACATAAGACATAAATTTACGGTCTTTAAAAGCGCCTTTAAAGTTTTTTTTAATAAAATGGGAAAAATTGCTTTAAAATTATTATTTTATTATATTATTTCTTGTGTGCGATAGAATAGTACGATAGTCGTATATTAAAGAACTAATGTCAAAGACGACATTTTGTCGCACGCGGACAATGGACCATTGCGACAAAAGGTCTTATGACATGAGTTCTATATGTTATTTTATATATTTTGCAAAAATTCTATTAAAAAAGATAATTTTATACCTTAAATTTAATTTGGTCGAATTTTACTTTAGATAGTTGGTATCACAGTCATTGGTTGAAATTTAACGTCAAAATCGATTCGCCATGCCGTCCTTAATTTACTTATTTACAATAAGTGGCTATTAATGTTAAAGAAGAAAAAAAGGATTTTCTTTGGTGTTAAACAAAATGTATTGCCAAAAAAGTCTCGTATACTTATAAGTACCTACTAGAAAAATCATAAAGATATTATAACCAATATGAAATATATTATGCTATTTAAAGTATAGCCAACCTATAAAATCAAAATTTTGGGTAGGAGAAAGTATCTCATTGAAGCACCGAAAGCGGTGTTATAATGAAGTCATTATGAACGCAAAATAGATAAATTTACTTTATTTACTCCTATTGCATAATATTCCCAAGCAACAATTTAAGTATTTGTTACGTATATGGGACTATTGAAGAAACTTTAAAGTGTTTTGCGACAGTCGCCGGTCTCTTTATATTACTCTTTCGTTACTAAGTTACGACTAAAGTGGGGAACAATTATTGAGTTCCAAAAAGGTACCTAACAAATATGTCACTAGCTATAAACCCTGCTACTATTTGGAACGTAGCTGCTACGTTACTAGAACGTTCCAATATCGTTGCCAGAGCGTTATAATTACTTTTATTTATTTGTTTTTACTTCTACGAGTATATTAACTGTCTTTGTCAAACTTATATTAGATTATACTATCCCTCCTTTTTTAAATGGAACCACTACGGACTTGGCTTTTCAATGTCGTCGTTTATTAAATATGTACTGGTAGTTTATAACTTCCAGAATAACAATATAATGTTTAATTAGGCAGGTAAATTTATAAACCCTTTAAATTTTACTGTTGAACTTATGAATTTAGTTTTTGTAAAATAAATGCGCTTCATCAATATTTAAGTATACATAAATTATTTATTTAATAGTGTTTAAAAATAAAAAAATCTTAATATTTATTATTAATTTTTTTATTTAATTAGTAATACCGACTATTACCAACAAAATTACTATTTATTAAAAAGTAAACAACCATTTACAAACAATTAAAATAATTTATTATTTACATTACCACGTGGTACTGTACAGTAAAAAATGGCCGATAAGAAGCATTTTCCTTTGAAGTAGTTTTCGCTACTTTAAAGTTTTTTTCACTTTACGGTTGTTTTGGTTAGTACCATAAACGTTCCAAATACTAAAATAATAACTTTTAAGTTATTAACTTTGTAGTTTTTAACTCATGTTCCAGTTTCGAGATTTTAACTTCCAAAGGGACTACAAAGTAAAAATAATTATAATGTAATCTTTAGGTAGCAAACGAAAGTAAGTGCTACAAATTAAATTTACTTGAAAGTTTTTTTTACTTATAACACCTTTTTTAAAGTTGCAAAGTCTTCTTGGGGGCAACCAAGTTTTACTTAAATGTTTATTACTTTATAGTAACCATTTAAGGAAAAATTAAGTTTCTGTTACAAAATATTGCTATTTAAAAGTTAAAATTACTTTTAAGTAAAAATTAAAGTAGCTGTTTAGTATACTTAACTAATTTAAAGTTATCACCACTTTGGCAATGGTTTTTGGAACCAAAAATGCTGCTTGGGTTGGGTTGTTTTCGTGAATAATGATAAATATTATAAATATCCTGCCTATAGGCAACAACGGGAATAATGAACTCATTATTATACTGTGATTTGAACCAATCTAGTTTTAAATTGGAAGAAGGCTACTATAGTATATATAATAACATTTAAAATTGGTAAAAAGTGAGGTTAACCATTTGACAGATGTCAGATTTTATTTATTTATTTTTTAAAATCATTTAATTATCTACTTATTGGAGTAGATAAAGTATAGTATATCACATTTGAGATTATGCGCATTATCTCTCGTATAATAATATACTATTAT